TGGCTGCCCGTCTCCTGCAGTGTTGGGATGGATCTGGGTGCGCGTCCATCCCTGTGAAGTACACGGGTCTGTTTGCCTGGATGGAGAGAGGCTTGGTTCGTGCTTCCGATAATCGCAGGTCTTGGATTAATCCTTCCCTTTTAAGAAGGGATGATCAAGGGATCTTTGCGTTGGGAGATAAGGTCTGGGGTGAGGGAGAGGGGAGATAAAGGCTTGCCTTGCAGGTATGAGGATCATTTCTGCCAAAGCTTCCGCTCAGAGATTCGGGGAGTCACTGTCCCCAGCGCTTGCCTGTGCCCTGCATCCTGGGACGAGCAGTTGCTGGGGGCCAGCCCGGCGCAGCAGCGAGGGAGCCGGCTGCTCCCACCCCACACAAAAAGGGGGGGGGGTGGCGGGGCCGAGGGGATGATCTCCGGCGAAAGCTGTTTTTCCGTGCTGGCTGGTGGAGAGCGGGACGTTGGAGATGGCAGGGACAAACTCGCAGCAGCACCCAGCTGCCCCCCTTCCCTGCCCGCGGCTTCGGGTGCATCTCTTCAGTGTCTCTGAAATGGTGGAGGGGAGGGAGGGATTACCTGGGCGCAGCTGGGAGTTTGCGGTGCGCAGAAGGCATCCGGGGATGCTGCCCCACGCTTGCTGATCTTCAGTCGTCTGCCGGAGGAAGATATTCTTTGAAAGGAAATGAGCAGAAGCAGCAAATATGGAACCGTCAGTGAAGGGAGCGGGCTCATTGGCTTTTTCTTCTGTTACCCTGATGCAGGGCACGTGCTTTCCGGTGCGTGACTGGCAGCATCGTTTGCCGGTATGCTAATTCTTAACAGAATAGATTTAAAAATAGATCAACGGTCTGTTAAACAAAAGCGGAAAGCCAAAAGAGGAAAAAAGCCGTTAGCTGCGTAAGGCCGAGCTGAGTGCATGGGCCAGATATCCTGTGCTGGCGGGGAGGGGAGCGGGGCGCTGTGCCCGGGGCCGGAGCCGGCTCGGAGGGCAGACAGCGCAGGGGTTGTTCTCGGCGTTTGGCATGCGGGGCTGTGCAGGCCATCATTGCTGCTCCACTTGGTTGCTGTATGTGGGATGAAAAGGGCGCGGAGCCTTTGCATCGCCTGGCTGCTCCTGCCAAGTTTTTCTGATTCATTTAAAGGAGCCAGGGGTGGCATGTAGGAGAGCGGTTTCGTCGGTGTTTGTGTTTAATTTCAGCCTAAGGAAGAGAAGCAGAACGGTTATAATGCACGCACACACAGAGTGCCTGTTGCTGCGGGGCCACACCGTCCTGTCTGCACGTTTTTCTTCAGGGAGTACAACATCTCCATTTTCGCTTTGTAAGATCCCCTCCACGTACGCCGGCCAGGGGTGGCATGTAGGAGAGCGGTTTCGTCGGTGTTTGTGTTTAATTTCAGCCTAAGGAAGAGAAGCAGAACGGTTATAATGCACGCACACACAGAGTGCCTGTTGCTGCGGGGCCACACCGTCCTGTCTGCACGTTTTTCTTCAGGGAGTACAACATCTCCATTTTCGCTTTGTAAGATCCCCTCCACGTACGCCGGCCGGGCAGAAGCAGGTTTGCGCTCTGTGCGCAGCCGGTGCAGCTGCTGCTTTCGGGGATCCGGCGTGACTTTGGCTGGATCTGTGCTTGGCGTGGGTGCCGGCGCCTCCGAGCACGCC